GAGGCGGCAGCGGACCTCGCGCGGCCCTTCATGGTGAGGGGGTAGGGGCGCGCCGGGCCCGCTGAGGGGGGCGGTCCCCGTCCCGGCCGGGGAGGGCGGGGGTCCCCTCGGCGTGTGGCCGCGGGGATGTCGGAGCCCCCGGGAATTATTTCTTCGGCGCCTTCCCCGCCGTGTTAGTAGCACCTCCTGTCTTGGGATGGTTCTTCCCGCTGCGAGGGAAAGCGGGAACTATCAGGCGACTTCAAATATAGGGCGGAAGGCGTGCTGGGTGTCGGGGCAGGCGTGGGGACGGGCTGCTGGGAGGGGGGTGTGTGTGTGCCACCCCTGGGGGTTTTCCAGCCCCGCCTGGGTAAAGCCCTGCTCTGACCTCAGAGCTGGTCCTGCTCTGACAGGAGGCTGACCCCAGACAAGGTCCCTGCCAGCCTGAGGTAGCCAGAGATTCTTTGAAAAGCCTCCAGAGACGGCAGGAGAGGTCACTTAAACTTCTGGAATAAACCTTGTTGCTGGCGAAAGCTGGGTGACAGCATCTGAGTTTCACCTGTGGTGATTCAAAAGCTCTGCCGAAGTTCTCAGTCAGTGCTGGAGCTGATGCGCACGTTTAGCCCTGAGGAGAGTTTAAGCTCTCCTCGGGAAGGAGAGGATTAAAACGCCCAGCGGTGTTTGGAGTTCTTCATAGCTAGAAGCTGGGGGACCCTTTTCCTTCAGAAAACCGTTGCTTCCTGTTTCTGACCAAGGGAAGTACGGCTGCATCTTCCCCTCTGTAACGTTCATAAATCTGACATGATATACAGGTGTGTTTTGTCTTAAACACATACTGCTTAAAAACAGATGCAGTATTATTAGTTTTATTTAGAGTAGGTTATTACATGAACCTTGGTAAGCCAACAAATTAATCAATGAGCTATAGCAAGTGATCTAAATTCTAGTCTAGCAGAAGTATTGTACAAAATCCTGCTCTACTGCATCACAAGCAGCACTTTACTTGTAACACTTGTCATTACATAGCAAATTGTGAAGGAGTGTTACCATAAGGTTAGCTAACTAAGCCTGATATACCACCACTTTGTCACTCCCCGATAGATATTAGTCCTTTGGAGATCCCTCCTCCCTCCCTCTCATTTCTTCCAGTCCCCCAAGAACCACCAGGCAAGAAGCTGCTCGTGCTGTAGCTGACTCCCAGTTCTGTGTGTGCTACTGGTTAGCCAACCAGTACTCATGTATCTGCTGGGTAGGCAGTGACCACATTGCAACACGAGTCTGTGTGGTGCTGGGTTTTCTTCGGCATGAGTGCTAATTTGGACACGTCTCTTCAGCCTGCAAAACTATATAAACCTAGAATCTCAACATTTCAGTCAAGTTTTACAGAATTTGTTGATGATGGCAGAATTTAGGGAGGGTGTGGTGTTTGGGAGGGGATGTACAGGTACCCTGGAACTGTTCAGACCTTTTTTCCTTATGAAACTGGTTAAAAATTGCAGTTAGAATTTGAAGGTTTGTAACTTTGGGTAAACCCATCATGTGTGATTGTACAAAACATTTTCCATTGTTTAAACCAACTTTCGTCATCAGTATGTAAGGAATTATAATCTCGGTCCTTCCCTCATCGCATGTTTGTCAGAGGAAGCCAGGACACATCAACTTTTGTTGTTTGGGTTCATACATTTGATATGTTTGAGCTTGCATGTTGCCTTAAATCAAAAGGATGATGATGTTCAGAAATTGGCACCTTTTCCTATTAGTGGTCCTTTTATTATTTCTGTATCAGGTGTCCCTCATCCATCAACAATGAAGTGACTTCAGTCTCTGCACAGAGCACACTGTCAAGAAGAGCTAAAAGCTTTAGAATAACTGTAAGTAATTTTACCTAGGCTGACAAAAACCTTTCTGCCAGAATGAGATAAGTGCTGCTGGTGGATTTTTGTAAGATTTGCAATTGCATTATACCATTACCTCAACCAAAGCATCAAGCTCACAGGTGATGACTTTAACCTTGTGTCTCTAGGCTTTTCCACATTGTGTTAGGTATTGGTTAAGGTTATGCTTTTTTCTGAAGATTAAAGAAATGCCGTGATCCAGAAGCTTTTAAGCATTAGTTTAACTTCAAAAAGACACTTAAAATTAAGGATATATGAGTTTACCAGGTTCAGGTTCTAGGATGGAAGGATCTGATGGCTTCCTGTTGATTTGTCTTGACTGAACTGTTAAATTAATGCTTCTCTTCTTGCCACTTCAAATTTCTCTTCATAATCAGATTGTGTTAGTTACTGGAACCTTTGATTTGCTCACTTGCTCTAAGACTGTGAACTCCAATGACTCTTACAGACACCTGCTATCCGTCAACTATATTTGGTCTTTAATAACCACATTAAAAGCAAAAAATACCAGAAACAGAGAAATTACTTGTATTAGTCCTAGCTTTACAGCAAAATAGTGTGCAATTCAAAATGGCAGATGCTACTGAAAGAAACCTCCAACTTTAACCAAAGCTGGCCATTGTTGGTCTCTGGCATAGAGGGAAATGTTGTTATTTCCAGTTTCCTTATTCACAGGTTTCCTTTCATTGTATTGCCCTTTCCCGTTTGTGGGAGAAGAGCCATGAAGAACCGTTCCTCATCTCCCCCTTTGCACGTCCATGTGGATGAAAACACCCCTGTCCATGTCCATATTAAAAAGGGTCAGAAAACCACACCTGCAAAATGCCAGGTAGGAGTGTGTGGCTGGGTGTTTTTAAGGGCTACAAAGAGGAAGGTGAACGGTCCTAGAAGCACCACAAAATCTTCAAGGTCTGTTTTACCATTGTATTAGAACTGTAAGACTTGAATTCATATTCAATGGTGCATTTTCAGTAACATGTCTTCTGTGTTTAAGACAATTTAAGTATGATATAGAATATATAGTTACTTTTCATGTTCAAGTGTGTGATTGTGAGGAGTGTTGCTTCCCATGTGATGTGGTTTGGGGGAATTTTTTTTTTCTTTTGTTTCCTGGATTTGTGTCCTGACAATGGTTTTTCTTTGGCTTCATCACTATTTCTGTAGGAAGGGTTTGGGGAAAGGTAATATCTAGGTGTTTCAAATTCCATCTTCATTGTATTAAAATAAATATTTTTAGATAAAAAAAGAGTCTGGATTCAAACTGTCTTCTGGCATTAAGCACCTTCTCAGTCCTCTGAGCTATGCAGCAAAGAGGATCTCTTCATAGCCTTATCCGCAGTAGGTAGAAGGCAATACTGGAGTTGAGTATCTAGCTATTTCATATCCTCTTTTATAGCTGGATGTTTATGTAAAGTTGTTCTCAAGAGGTGATGGAAGTTGCTATCTCATTCTTCCTTATGTGCAAACATCCTGTTCTAAGCACTCTATTAATTTTGTGTTTGTTGCTAATGGCAAATATCATAACAGGCTAGGGCCTGACAGTGAGATCAATGACTCCTATTAGTTAATTGCCTGTAGGGAATATTTAGAACATCTGATTTTTCTGTAAGGTTAGAACTGTGCAAAAACACTTTAACTTTCCTTCAGTTAGAGCACCTCGAGTTCAACACAAGTAAATGTGGATTTATTAGTTGACTGCAA